AATGGGTTAAAGCGCAGCACTGTGAGACTGGCTGCAGCCATTGCAAGAGTTCAATTCCTGGCCAGGGAAGTGACCCACATGGCACAGCAGACCTCTCCTGACCCACCCGCTGCTCCCTTCAGCAGTGTACTTCATCGGTCTACCTGGTCTGCTCCCCACTCTGTCTCTGGTGAATCCTTTCACTGACCCTGCATCTCTGCCAGTACCCCAGTTCTGTATGCATGAATAAATAAACATTAAAAAAAAAAAAAAAAGAAAGAGAATATCTTGGGATGCTTGGGATGTAATCAACTGTTAATAAAGCACAAAGATAAAAATTATACCTATTATTCAGTCTGATAATAATACCAAAAAAGTCCATTTATAGTTATAAATCAGCTATAAGAAAAATGTAAGGCCCTTTCTGGTGGTGCAATGGGTTAGCCCAGAGCACTGTAAGCTGGCCTCAGCTGCTTCAGTGGAGTTTGATCCCAGGCCTTGGAAGTGACCCACATGGTGCAGCAGAATCCCTCTGACCCGCCCGCTGCTCCCCTCAGCAGTGTACTTCATCAATCTGCTTGCTCTGTTCCCCACTCTGTCTCAGGTGAATCCTCTCACGACTTCTGCACCTCTGGCCTGTACCCCAGTTCTGTGTGCATAAAGAAATAAATCTTTAAAGAAAAAAAAAACAGTAAAAACTCTTAATGTGGAGACTTTTTAAAATGTGCTGTTTAGTAGTCACTGAATAAAGGAGGTAGTTAAAGCAGAAATTTAAAAAACCTTGAGACAAACAAAAGTGATGTAACACTTTCTATAAACTATGGAATGGGTCAAAAACCTGCCTTACAGGTGAAGGTAATTGCAATACAGTTTTAAGAAGAAAAAAAAACCCCTAATCAGGAATTTACACATAAAGAAAAAGGAAGGACAGAAAAAACCCAATGTTAGCGTAAGGAATGAAATAACTTTTAAAGGAGCATTGGTGGCACAATATGTAAAAGTGCAGCTTTACAAAGCTAGCTGCAACCTTTGCAGCAGAAGGGGTCCCAAGTGGGTGACAAGAAGCGGTGCTCATATGGTTATAGTGGGCAAGGAGTGAGTGTTTGGTTGTTGGGTGTCTCCCAGTCATGTCTCTTATTGGTTGGCTGGGCCTGCAGGGTTTTCCTAAGCTACCTAGGTCCACTGAGTCTGCCCATGTTACCTGGCCTACCTTTCCGAAACTAGCTTTGCTCCTTGCTTTAGCAGCGTGTTAGTGTGTTGGTGTTCTGGACACTCCATTCTCTACTGGGTGTGGAGGAGCCCTCCTGGTCTGCTATTGTTCTCCAGTCAGTCTCATGAATGGGCCTAGGGCATGTGGGCTTGGGATGGGGGTGGCTTCCTAGCGCCAATATACTGTTTTTCAGTTAGGCTTATAAATGGACTTGGGGGTCTGGGCCACCCTGTTCCTAAGTGACTGCCTATACCCAGTCCATAAGTTCTGCTGTCACTTTCAGTAGTGAAGTAATGAAATGTATATATGTTGATTGTCAATTATGAACACTTGAAGCTTATATAATAGTATAATGCAATGCTTCTTCAATACACAAATTACAAATCTATATATGAATATATATACATATATAATCAATATTATTTAGTCATAAAAAGAAGTCCTTTCATTTGCAACAGCACAGCTGAAACTGAAAGGCATGATGTTTACTCATATAAGCCAGAAAAAGAGAAATACTTGTCAAATCACTTTTATTAGAAATGTTCTAAAGCTGATTTTATAGAAATGAAGAGTAGATTGCCAAGAGCTGAGGGCAAGGAAAGTGAAGTGGTGAAGGTCAAAGAGAACAAACTGTCAGTTAAAGATAAATTCTGAAGGTGTAATGTTCAGCATGATGACCACAGCGAATAAGACACTTGATTGCTTGAGCTCTACTATGAGAATGTATTTGAAGCATTTTCATGAAAAAATGGTTAACTACGTGAGGTGATGAATATATTATTTGATTGTGGTGATTATCTCATGCTGTATGTGCTTTAATTCTACAGTTTTATTTGTCCATTATAACTCAATAAAAATTAAAAATTTATTGTTAAGTAGTAAATCAGACAGCTGTGGTACACACATACATATATGAATGTTTGTATTACTAAGTGAAATAATCCAGTTTGGAAAGACTGCATACTGTATGATTGGAATTATTTGACATTCTGGAAAAGGAAAAACTATGGAGACAATAAAAAATGACTGGTTTTCAGGCATTAGGGGAAGGAGAAATGATGAATAAAGGAAGCCAGCAGATTTCTAGCACAGTGAAACTATTTTCTATGACACTGTAATGGTGAATACATAGCTTTATGCATTTGCCTAAACCAATAAAATATGCCACATTAAGTCTGACCCCTAGTATAAGCTGTAGATGTGAGGTGATATGTCATTGTGTCAAATGTACCATCCTGGTGGGGGATGTTGATGGTGGCCTAGGAAGCAAGTGTTTGTGCATGGGAGGGAGGGGCACACGAAACTCAGTGTACTTTCCACTTAAATTTGCTGTGCACATAATGTTCCAAAACATTAACACTACTTTCAAAAGGGGGATGTGGTAATATTTTGTGCCATTCTCAGCTTCTTGATAACCAATGTTGTGTCTCCACCAAGCCTTGTAGTTCTTGCACATTTGCAAGGAAATCTCAGCAGTAAGCATCAGGAAACTTTTAGTAAGTCAAGATTTATTATTTGCAGTTTTGAAGTTACATGGCACACTTGAAGTCATGGAGAAAGGCGGAAAGGGAGAGGAAGGGAGAGAGGGAAACAGAAAGGAAAGGTGACAGAGAAAGGAGAAAGAGGGAGTAGGAAAGGATTCAGTTTTTATTTGGATTGAAGTTGGGAGTCTAGTCTTATGGGCTAATATTTATCTGTGAATTTAAAACAGAGTGAAAATTTAAAGTGCACAAAGGGAAGAAACCAGTAGCCCAGAAGACCAATAATCTAAAGGAAGTTGAGGTGGCCTGGCTTTTTCTCTTGTCCTTTGGCAGGCAGTACCAATTTCAGCTTGAGATAGCTGAAATTGAAGTGTATGACTCTTTGAAGAAGATACCTTGGCAATCAGAGCTTAAGTCAGGCACTTGCATTGCAAAAAATAGAATAAAGATATTGTCATGATTTATACTGCAATGTTGGGAATATATTCACTAACAAAACTGGGTCTCTCTCTTGTTGATGTTATTATTCAACTACTTTAATAAGAGCTCTATTGAGAAATAACTGGTAGAAAATAAACTGTATATATTTAAAGTATACATAAACGTAATTTTATAGTATTAATCTGCATATATACCCAAGAAACCTTCACCAACATGAAGATACTGAAGATATACCTCGGCCTCCAAATCATCTCATGCTTGTTTGTAATCTTTTCTATACCACTCTCCTTTCCAGGCAACTACTGATCTAGTACAAATGTCATTTGCATTTTCTAGGGTTTTATAAAAGTAGTAGTATATAGTAGGTATAGTTTTTGGTTCTAACTTCTTTCATGTGAAATAATTATGTTAAAATGTGTCCTTGTGGTGTTTAGCGATACTTTCATTCCATTTTACTGCTGAGTAGTATTTCATTACAGGGATATACCATTTTATGTATCCATTTATCTGTTGATAGGTGTGGGTATCTTCAACGTGGAGCTATTACCAATAAAAATGTCATGAACATTCATGTATTTTCATTTTTCTTGACAAACATTCAGAGTGGAATAGAAAGACCACATAAGGGGATTTTTAACTTTTAAAGAAACTGTCAAACTGTTTTCCAAAGTGATGATCAGCAGGTATGAGTTTCAGTACTTCTATTCTTGCCAAATTTCATGTGATCAGTTTTTTTTTTATTTCACTCATTCTAATAGAAGTTTATAATGTCTTACTATGGATTTACTTTACCTTTTCTTAATATCTAATGACATTGCACATATTTTTGTGTACTTAATTGGCATTTGCGTATCTTTATTGGCAAATTTCTGTTACTATTTGATGTTGGATTTGTCATGTGCATTTTTCTGCAACATTAACTTCATTAATGTAGTGAATTACTTTGGTAAATGTTTGAATATAACATCCACCTGCAGTCCTGGGATAACCAACTGTCAGAAGTGATATGAATATAGGTATTTTAATTTGATAAAAAGTTTTTTAGGAAGATTGCATCTAAGTTTTTCTGAGCTATGGACGTAGTTTTCCAGTCTATTCTTGTACTGTTTAACTTTAGTGTCAGGGTAAAGCAGACTCTGTAGGATGAGTTGTGCCATGAGTTTGGGCGTAGCACAGGGGCGCTATTCAATAATTCTTTCATTGATTATTTGGAACAGTGAAAGGTGAATTAATATGAAATAAACAGATATTGTTTTATGAAACATTTTAATAATAAAATAAGGAATGCATAATTAATGATATTGTTAATGGAGAAGAAGGAGTTATGATTCACAGTCACTGTCTCTTTAGTCTTCCTTGTGACCCTGAAATGGGAATCATTACACCTTTTTGTTGTTGTTGTTGTTGTTAATAGTTGAGAAGCCTGAGCGACCCTCCATCGTTGTGCAGCAGTTACAGCACAGCACTATGAAGCTATCCACAACCACTGTCGCACAAGTTCAATCCCCAGGCAGAAAGGTGACCCACATGGCATGGCAGACCTCTCCTGACCTGCCCACTGCTCCCCTCAACAATGTATTTCAGCAGATCTGCCTGTTTTGCTCCCAACTCTATCTCTGGCGAATCCTCTCACACTCCGCACCTTGATGTGTACCTCAGTTCTTGTACATATAAATAAATAAATCTTTTTTAAAAAAAATAGATGAGAAGCCTGAGAGGTTTTTGCTTGTAAAGTTCATTTGGTTATCAAAGAGTTGGCACAAACTATATTCACTGTCAGTCTTCTTCTCTGTGCACCTGAGGGAACATGAATTCCCCCCACCTGAAGCCATCACTGCTGGCTACTACTGGGTTCTGTAGCCTGAGAGACCTGGTGTCCTAGAGGGAAGTTAGTTCCTCTGGGCATTACTCTTGGAAAGGAAGGGTGTGGTCACCTGCGCAGAGGGCCTCAAGTCGTCTGCATCAGTGGTTCTGGAGGCCATTTGAGGAGGAGCTTCTTCCTCTGATGTCTGTGGCACAGCAAAGATGACTAGAGGAGTTGCACTATATGCTTCACACAGGATATAGGGCCTCAACAACCCGTCAAACTGATGTGTCAGGGTACAAATGAGCGACTGATCATTTATATTGAAGAAGGAGATGGTCCCACCTTCATAGTCCAGGAAGACCCCTACTTGTATAGGGGGGGTTCTCAGAGATAGATCAATTCTATCAGGAATGAATGTGAAATACTTATTTTTTTCATTCAGTCTCAGCACCCAGTACCCATTTTCGGGAGACAAAGTCTCAAAAATTTCCTCTCTGTTAACATCATCCCGGCAGACGCCCAAGCCCCAATACCTATTGTGTCCCACATCGACCTCCCAGTAGTGTTTCCCTGCCTGGAAACCCTGAGAAGCCACCACACACTTCCTCCGGAACCTCTTCTCCAAGTAGGGCACATCCTGGTGAATACTGCTATAGGTGACAGCTTTCAGATCAGAAATGTAGAGACAGGGATGAGCCGTGTCTGGGTCCAGAGTCACCTCCGCTGGTGATGGTTGGGGAGAAATGAAAAGTTAATCTGAAGGACACTGGCTAGGCACAGAGGTCAGCCCCTCCCACTGCACTGACTCAGAGGGGACCAGATGGGATCCTAGAGCCAAAATCTCCATCAGATTCTGATGGACTCAGTCCCCACCCGGCCCCTCCCTCACGTCCAGGGCAGCCTGGGACTATACCAATGCCTGAAAGTGCCCAAATGTGAGATCCTAACTTCTGAATCGTACACCAACCCCACCACCATGCCACTGTGTAAGCCCACTATTTGATTTTGTGAGAATTAAGTGGCCCCACTATTCAGAATCCTCCCACATTACCAGTTCCGGCCCAACTTTATATATCCCTGTCAGCCCAGGCCCTTTGCACTAGTGTCCTTTACTCCTTGGTCTTTACCTATAACCTTTATTGTCCCTTCTAGTTCAGAGCTAAGAAGTGTGTCTGAGGGGAGCTACATCCCAGGTTGGGGACATCACAGCTCCCTCATCTGCAGGTTGGATGGGCCTCCGTGTTCCTCAAGACCACATATCTGTTGCTGGTCTGTCTCTCTCCCAGGCCTATTCAGTGATCTGTCTCACTGTCACCACCTTAGGTTTGGTACCTGCATGTTTCTGGGCCTCTCTCCATTCTGAAAACAAGCAGACAGAAAGAGGGGTCAGTTCTCATATGGAGGGTGGTGCTCTTTTTGAGTGTCATGGTCCCACAAGAGATCTGGTGAAGGTTTTGGGGACTCTGTAAGACTCAGCCCCTTGGTATCTGCTGACAATTTCAGGGCACCCACAACGCTTCAGATTATCATAGACTTTTCCTTTGCAAAGTCTTATGGGCTTCAGGTTGTCATGAACTGAAGACTGGAAGAGATAAATAAAAGAAAGGAAAGGACATCTTCTCACCTGCCTCTGCATGCTTCTTTCTCCAATCTGAAATCAAAACACAGAAAAGGATGAAATCACAGAATGGACCCAGAGGCAAGTGCAGGAGGAACGTTCTATATTTGATAATGCTTTAGCCAGTTTTTCATGGGATGGCCATGATGAGAAAAACAGAATAATCAGTGGCTGAAACAAGCCTGGATCAGGGATAAGTTAAGCAGATGTCCCATACATTTTCACTATTTTGGGCCCACCACTCTCAGAAAACTAGTTATCCCCACAAAATGTACCAACAGGCAAAGTCTGTAGATCATGTTAGTAAGTTTCAAACCTGTGCTGATTCTAAAGCCCCAGATATCCAAGAAATCCTCATGGTTCAATGCCAGGCAGGTGGGCCAGCTCCTCTCATGCTCCCTGTCTGGTCTGGGGCCAAGGAGGGGCCCAGGGACACTGTGCGGGGGGCTCGGAACATCCCAGGCTACTTACCCAATTCTCTCTGAATTTTCCCTGAAACAGAAACAGAGCATCAGAGAAGTGCAGGTGTAAAGACAGCCCTGGTCTTCCTTCAGAGGGGGTGAGCTATGGGTGAAGGACAGCACTTCCTAGTGCTCCCCTGTGGGCTCTGCTCCCAAGCCCCTGCACTGAGCATCTCTAACTGGGGATCAGAAACTCTCATGCTGAAGGAGAGACTGACATTTAGGAACTTCAGAGGTAGAAGTGGCAGTTATCAAGGAGGAGGTGGGATATATTTTCAAGGGACAGGTTCACCAAGGAGGAGATATTTTGTTGTTTGGAGTGAAAATTTTTATTGTGACTGAACATTACTTTATCTAATTTTTAGTATAATTTATTTCCTCTTTCAACTACACTGGAATTTTTCTACTTAAGTCTTGGAATTTCTTAGAAATTCTTAGCAATTTATATAAACTTTGTAGGTAGTGAAAATAATTCCTTCCCCAATTCTGGTTTCCTACATGAGGTAGAAAGAGTCTGATGGGAGCCGACATTTCTGGAAGGCACCATTTTAGGCCTCATTTTGAGGGAAATGAGGAATGTGGCCTTTGGCCTCCTAATGGGCCTCTGGAAGACAGATATGAAGAATAGATGTGGAGGTGAAAGCTGATCCTCATCCCAGGGAACCAAGAATAAGCTTTATGACTTATACTCTCTTACTCACCCCTGTTGAAGGAAATCCTCAGGACAATGATACCAGCGATACCAGCGCACAGGACAAAGCAGAGCACTCCCAGCAAAATAGACACCGGATAGAATGGTGATGTTTGGAAAAACGTCTCTATAAAACAGTTCACAGACCCTTCAGTAATTGCTTGAACAGGGAAGATGGTTTGTCACTTAAGCTATCCTCTACCCCATGATGAAAAGGAAATTTTGTATCATTTTTTCTACAAGTTTAAAACATCCATTGCTATGTAACTATATGTTTGGATTTTGTTTTTGTATATAAGACTAGATACAAAGTGTAGAAGTTAGATTTTACTTTCTTCTAAAAGTCTGTTTTCTTCTAAACATATAACAGTTGTGCATCATGCTAAGTGGGCTTTTACACATTGTTGCTGTAATGTCACACCAAATGTCTGTCCATACCAACTTTATGTGCTGCTATGGAATTGTCTCCTGGCTCTCTGGTCTGTACCATTGGCCAATTCCTATACCGTTGCTTTTATTTTGATTAAACAAATCATCACAGCTCTAGGATATATACTAAATTCTAAGCTACTAAGCTATTATTCAGCTGTGTCTTGTGATATATGGCCATTTGCTCTGCCATGCAATTTTACAACTGACATGTCTAAGTTCTGAGAAATTCTGCTGAGATTTTGAATAGTTTCATAATGAATCTTAGAAAATTTCTGGGAAAAGTAATATATTTAAAATATTTTTTCTTCTTACCTGAAAGCTATTTTTCTTCTTATTTTAGTTTTCTTTAATGACTTTTAGCGAAGTTTTATAATGTCCTTTAATAAGAGCTTTTTAATATCTTACTGGATTTTCTTCTAGTTAACATCTTTATGTTGACATGGTATGTCTGTTTTTCTGTCTTTGCTTGTGTTCACAGATGAAATTAATTTTGTTCATTAAACTTATTTCATATGAATGTGATGAGCTCTCTTATAAACGAAAGAAGTATACTTTTCTGAAGTTTTTTTTCGTGATACTGGAACAATGGCCATTTTATGTCTTTCTTCCTAAGAGTTGTAATTCTTTTCCAGTTTCATTTTTATTGCAAGATAATGTTTAACACAAATATTTAATAGAGTCACCCTTATAAAGTTTGATTTTAAATGATATATAAGTGTGTGATATTTCCTTCAGATTTGTAAGATGATTCTTATAACTGAATTTACAAGAGTTTTGGTTATGGGTATTAAACTTTATGATTTATTGACATCTGTTAAGAAACATAATTATTCTCCTATTTAATTATTATTTAATTATTACATTACTATGTATTCTAAAGTTGACCTAAATCCTCCAGGAAAAGCTCAGTTCAGTCAAAATGCATTAATCTTTTAACACACTATTGGTTATGTTTGCAATTTTTTTTTTAAGATTTTTTAAGATTTTTTTTTTAAGATTTTGGTACAGGCCAGAGATGCGGAGGGTGAGAGTATTCACCAGAGACAGAGCGGGGTACAGAACAGGCAGATGAACGAAGTACACTGCTGAGGGGAGCAGTGGGCGGGTCAGGAGAGGTCTGCCACCCATGTGGGTCTCCTCCCGGGCAGGCGGGCATTAAACAAATGCGGAAGTGGTTCAAGCTTCTTTGTGCTGTGCTTTAACCTGCTGCGCAACCAGGGAGGGCCATACATTTGCAATTTTACACACAACTGGTTTAGGACATCACATTTTTTGCTTCTAATAAATTTAGTCAATACTTCTTCTTTTCCACTCTGCCCTTGGGTATGAAAATTATTCTAATTTAAGGAAATGAATTCAATCTTCCTATTTTTTTTTAACTTGGTTTAAGACTGAATTTTTCCTTTTTCTTGTAAGTTTGGTAGACTTTATGATAAAATTCTGTGACTAGTATCTTCTTTTAGAAATAATTTTAAATACTGACTCAATCTTTTCATAGCTATAAAGTTAACTTTGATGGTTATTTATCATTGAGTTAGAATTTATATTTTATATTTTTCTAGGAAATTTTTCATTTCATCATACATCAACAGAATAGCACAATGTTATTCAAACAGCTTACCTTTTATATTTCTGTTGCTTCGTTAGATCTACCCTTTTGTTATTTCTACACTATTTAATTATGACGTCTTTCCCTTATTTTGAATGTTTCCAGAAATTTACTTACTTTAACAGCATTCAGGAACATTTAATTCAAACCTTAAATTACAAAATTTGTTTTCTTATTTCTGTGAATTATCCACTTTATGATTTCCATTGTTCTATTCTTCTCAAAGTTATTTTAAAATAGATATCCATGCTTACAAGATAAATTTCCAGCCTTTCCATTTCTAATATAGTCACTTAAAGATGTAACTGTGATGGGCCCTCCCTGGTGACGCAGCGGGTTAAAGCACAGCACAAAGAAGCTTGATCCACTTCCCCATGAGTTGGATCTCTGCCTGCCCTGGGGGAGACCCACATGGTGCAGCAGACCTCTCCTGACCCGCCCGCTGCGCCCCTCAGCAGTGTACTTCGTTCATCTGCCTGTTCTGTACCCCGCTCTGTCTCTGGTGAATACTCTCACCCTCCGCATCTCTGGCCTGTACCCAGTTCTGTATGAATAAATAAATAAATCTTAAAAAAAAAATAAAAAAAATGTAACTGTGATTCACAAGGCTATATTTGCTCCATTTCACATACTATGATGCTTGTGAACTCATTATTATTTTAGCCTAAGAATTTTCTGCTAATTGTCCTATTTTTTTCAAATATCCATCTGTTATTTTTCTAGGTGGGTTTTTAATTTTGTCAAACATTAAAATTTTAAGTCATTAACTTTCTTATACTGTGATAAAAAATGTCAGTTCTTTGAAAGTATCTGAAAACAGTCCTGGTGGAAGTTTGTTTATATCCCCTATGTGCCTCAAAATAATGTTCAGAGGAAACAGTCTTCTAAGAATGCTATTAAATAAATCTAGATAATTGCTAATTAAAATATTCTACTCATTTAATAAATTTTGGAATGCAACATATATTGATTTTTCCTTATAGCCTTTTGTGTATTTGCTTATATATAAGCATATATATGTGGATATGTAATAATGTATATGTACTTATATTTTTATATCTTTTGCTGTATTGCTTCTGATATTTGTGAAGCCAACCTATTTATAATAATGTATTTTTCTTGAAACTTCCCTTTTCCTTCTCTTATGTTAATGTATCTGCCCTGGCTCTACTTTTGTTAATATTTGTCAGGAAGTTCTTTTTCCACATTTTTATAAAAAGTTCATATGTTTTACATTTTTTTGTCTTATGATATGCAACAATGGCTATTTTAAAAATCTAATATGACTTTCTCTGTCTTTTTACTAGCAAATTAATTCCTGTTACATTGATTGTGATTACAGGCATATTTGGGTTTACTTATTATTGTCAAATGCTTAAAAATCCATACTTTGGGTTAGACAATCCTCCCTCACTCCTCCTCCTTCCCACTTACCTCCTATCCATACATTAAGTTTCATCTCTTGGTCCTGGTCCTGGTGCTGGATGGAGCATGATATGTTTCCAGTATTGTCTTGGACCCTAATGGAGGTTTCCACATGAAACAGGCCTTGTACGTCTGTGTTCACCTTCAAGTCTGAGGGCAAATCATGTCCCTGTGGACTTTTCCACTTTACTGTGGGTTGTGGGAACCAGCCCGAGGACTTGCACAGTAGCTGAATATTTCCACCATGTCCCATGATAGAAATGAGAGGGGCCAACCCCAGTGCTGGGAAGAAAAAAATAAAGGGATGATAACAAAGATCATATGCCAATCCTACAGCTGTTCTGAGCCAAATCCATGAAGCTCACAGACATAACACATTGTCTTCTGTCTCCCTACCATTCTCTTATATACACTCATACCTCTGCTATAAGTCCTTCCATGAGTTTTGTTTATTCAATGCACATTTAGCAGCCACTGTATTTGTGATCATTCCTAATTACAAAATTTATTAAATAAATAAAGCAGAGCTAATGAAAAATTTCCTGGATAAACAGAATTGCATTGTGAAAAGTGCACATACATAGCAAATTCTGAGGCAAGAGTGAATTACCATTAGAAGAAGTCACAGCTTCCTGGAAGTGACATTGTGTCCTGCTATATCAGATGAATAGGGATTTTGTGTGTGGACAATAGAGGAAAGAAAGAAAAATATCAGATAGAGGCAAACCATGCTGTGATTAGTGGACATGCTGTAATGTGTACAAAGGACTTATGAATATTCTTTATTTTTAGAATGTGATGTGCAAGAATGAACAAGAATGACACCTAATAGATGTATGGAGCTGTTAGAATAGTAATCCCAGTAATGCAGACAATATCTCTTACAGACATTGTAGGGCTATTCACTGGTTTCCAATAGGTAAGGGGTTACAACCAGATCTACACCTGCAGCAGCATGGAGAAAGGACCATGAGTATCCCTCAGGAGCAGAGTGGTCAAACCACTCTGAAGTCATTCAGGGAAGAGAAAACAAGACCTGGAGAAGATAGAGACTATGAAAGTGAAAAGATAGATGGAAGAGATATTAGAGGTTTGATCCAACAGAACTTACAGTAGGGTAAGGAAAAGCGTTGGCCTGACCATCAGATATATGACTTGGAGACCAAGAAAATGGTTCTTACAGAAATATTTAACCTCAGTTTAATGATTTCTTATTGTCCATCTCACACCAAAATCAGGACTTAGCCTACATGTGCTATTCTCTTCAATTGCTCAGGGTCTAGACCATTGCACAGAGCCAAATAAATGACGTTTAAGTAAAGAAGTAAAGGAAGTACAAAGTAGTAAGTGTGGCTAAGATGATGTAAGCTTGTTGTCTGCTTCTTCCTCTAGTAAACCTATAAATGCTGGAAAGAACCCAAGAAGAAACCACAGGAGAACCTTAAAGCTGAAAAGCTGAAAGTATATTGACTAGAGAGTAGAAAGGATAAAAAGCAAGAGCAATTGAACATCTTTGTTTGCTTTTATTGTCTGCAACACAAGGTGAATATGTCGGCACATGCTTCCCCCATTTCACTAACTTCAAAGGGGCCCAGCCATACCCACAAAATATTGATTCAGAGCTCCACTGACAAGAGGCCAGAGAAGAGCTCTTTATTACCCCTGTGGGCCAGAGACTCACCTACTCACCTAGAGACAATGGGGGGGTCTGACTTGGGAAAACATCTTGTACTCCCACAGGTAACACTAGATAAGGTCAGCAGAAAGCTCAGGATTATCAAACAAACCAAGCAGAGTAAAATAGTGTAGCAAAAGCTCTGAAAATTAAATCATCTTTGAAACTATAACTAGTACAAGTAAACAAGGACCTGAGTGCTGAACCTAGGGCAATAATTGCCAGGTTAAAATGGAAGGACCCAGAGTCTCTTAACATAATAACCAAAATGTTGACATTTCCATTAAAAATCATCCATCAAAACCCACACGTTTATGGACACCTAATTTTTGACAAAGGAGCAAAGAAGATACAATGGGACAAAGAAAGTTTGTTCAGCAAATGTGCTGGGAAAACTAGGAAGCTACATGCAAAAAAATGAAACTAGATCACTACTTCACTCCAGTCACAAAAATCAACTCGAAGTGGATTAAAGACCTAGACATAAGAACGGAAACCATCAAATACCTAGAAGCAAAGATAGACCAAACACTACACGACAACCCAGCAACCTCACTCCTAGGTATCTACCCAAAAGACACAAAAACACTGATTAAAAAGATACCTGCGCCCCCATGTTTATTGTTCCTTTATTTACAATTGGAAAAACATGGAAGCAGCCCAAATGCCCAAAAGTAGATGACTGGATTAGAAAGATGTGGTACATATATACAATGGAATATTACTCAGCAACCAAAAAAGAGAAACACATGTCTTTTGCAGCAACTTGGATGGAGCTGGAAAAGATCATGCTTAGTGAGATAAGCCAGAAAGAGAAAGAAAAATACCGGATGGTTTCACTCATAGCAGGAGTATAATGGACCAGGTGAGAAAATAACCAAAATAATGAACAACCATATACCAGAGACATTTTGTGGGGGTGGAGTGGGGAATGGGATCAAAAACGGAGGGGTGGGGGGGGAGGAATGCACGGGATTATGGTGATGGCACACGGGTGACTTGGTGATGGGAAACCCGCGGGGATTACAATTGAGATGGAAAAAAAAATGTACAAAATGATGTGAAAATAAACTTTTGTAATAAAAAAAAATCAATCACTAAAAAAAAGAAGAACAAAAATAATAGAAGTAATTGCAAAGAAGTGATAAATGGCTTTAATATCATCAAAATCAATATTACGTGTATTTGAAAAAAACAATAAGAAAGCTAGTGTAAACTGGGAAAGTCCAATTGTTGAATGCTTGAAGAATGGCTTAACAAGTTATGCTGCATACATGTGGCACAGTTGCTATTTCCTTGTAAGTTATGATTTTGAAGCATACGTAATAAGACATTAAAGTGTTATTTGTTCAAAAAAAACAAGTCCTAAAAATATCACTAAGGTTGCTGTCAATGAATTAGCCACTTTTTTTTTTTAAGTATTTTATGGCTTCAGGTATTATATACAAATCTTTAACGTGTTTTTAATCAATTTCTGTTTATGATGATAGATGCTGGTGTAGTTTTATTCTTTTACATGTGATTTTCCAATTTTTACAAACATACTTTATGAAAAGACTTTCCCTGCTTCACAGTAAGGTCTTTGCTCCTTTTTCATAATTTTTTTTTTATGTATTTGTGGTTTTATTACTGGATTTTCATTTTGTTTCATTCACCTGTATACTTGTTTTTATTCAAATACCATGTTGTATTTATTATTGCTGCTTTGCAGTATAGTTTGAAGTTTGAAAGTTTGATAAATACATGTTTATTTTTTTTATCTCAGGGATACTTTTAATCCTTGGAGCTTTACCAGTTCCAAATAAATTATATGAATTTTTGTTCTTTTTCTGTGGAAAAATGCCATTGGGGTTTTGACAATGATTAGGTTAAATTTGTAATTTGCTTTGGTTGGTATACCTATTTTAGCAATTTTAAATGTTCTCATCCGTGAGTACAGAACACCTTGCCTTTTTTTGTGCCTTCTATTTCTTTTCAATAATACCTTATAGGTTTGAGGTATAGATCTGTTACTACTTGGGTCAAATTTATTCCAAGGTATTTAGTTCTTTTTATACTTTAAAAATGGAACTTATCCCCCTAGCTATATCCCTTTCACTGCTATCAGGCAAAAATTGGATGTATGTGACCCAAAAAGGCACACACACCACAGCAAGAATTTGTAGAAGTTCACCTTCATGAAGGCAAACTACAGCACATCTCTGGGGGAAATGAAAAAAAAAAATCCAAACTATGAACTTGACCATAGTGGAAACACAAAGAAAAACATTCCATAAACTGCAGACTTTTGGGTCTGGAATGCTAGAGAGTCACAACCACCCATCAGCACTGCACCAAGTGCTGGATCCCTTCATGGCCCTACCAACCCCTGAATCTTTGATTGCAAAAGCAGGTTTCAATACCTACAAAGCTATCAAAGGTGAAAAAAATTAACATCTAATAAAACCACAACACTACCTCCTGGAAAAGTAGAAATAATTCAGGTCTCTAAATTTAAAGAAGAGAGAAATATTGAAAGAGCAAATGAAAATACAAAAAACAACAACACATGGCACCTTATGATTCCAAGGGCATATGACATCACAAGAAAAATAATAACTCTCCAGAGGCATTGGGCTTAGTAAAGAAGCCAATGTCAGAAGATCACATACAGTCTGAATCTACTTATGTAAGAGTATTGAAATGAAACTTACTATTGTATGCTTAAGTTTCCTGCATGTCTTATGAGTTGATCTTTCTCTGTCTTTTGTTTCTTTTCTTTTAAGTTGTATTGCAGTGAAACTTAAAAATATACCATTTAAAAATTTCAAATGTGCAATATAGCGGTTAAATATAATCAATTTATTGTGCAATCATCACCACAAAACTAAATGGAGGCAGAGAGCAGATTAGTGGTTGCCAAGGATTGGGATGGTTGCAGGAAGGGATGGCAGTGGGTTTGACTATCAAGGGGCAGCAAAGGGAGTTCACTGTGGCAATGGATATTTCTGTATCTTGAGTTGTGAAAAATTACATAGAACTATACACTCAACACATAATGAAATAGTAGCATAGAATGCTGTCCTCTAAGGGACATGTCTGTATTTAAATTTTCAACATTGGCATTGTTTATAAAGTCCAGAATGGTTCTAAAAGACAACTAAGATAAGAGTTTTCTGAAATAAGCAACTTACCTGACACCTGCAGCTCCCAGGTGGCCTCCTGGTAATGAAACTGAGAGCTAAAGTGGCATCCATACAAGCCAGCGTCCAAGGCAGTGATGTTCTTCAGCCTTAGAGACACTCGGCCATAGTCCATGGAGTCCTTCACCAACTCTGTTCTCTCTCTAAAGCCTGGCAGCTGCATATCATACAGGTCTTGCCCATCCCTGTAGAGGTGGACCACAGAGGAGAACTGATCTTTGAAGAAGCGCACTTCCATGGCCTCTGCACTTGTCTCGGGAGACAGAAAGCAGGAGAACACTATGTCCTCCCCCACCAAGACCTTGAAGGACTTGTCTGGCCCAAACACCTGCCACTGGCCTGTGGGAGGAAAACAGCAGATAAATGCCCAGAAGCCATTTTGTTGTCTCCCACTCAGAGCAATAGTGGGCTGGTGATATTCACGGGGTTGGAATTTTTATTAAGTTCTTCTTTCTAAATCCAGCACTTTGCATCTGAACATTCTCTTACACTTGCCAGAACACTTCCACATGGGTTACTTTATTCAGTCCTCATAAACATCCCAATGTGTGTTCTAATATATCCATTTTTTTTTTAAGAAAAACTAATACCAAAGAGACCAAATATATTATACATTGGTAAGAAAGGCAATTTCCAGATGCAGCCCCAAGACTAGAGGACACTCTGTGCCCCCTTCTCTCTCCTCTGCCCATGTGCTTTACTGAACACTCACATGAGGCCCAGATCCCTTCTCCAATCACCCATGAGATGAATTTGGGGCCACAAAACCTCTAGTTTGAGGTAATTTTAAAGGTTTCTTTCAAGCGCTCGATAATGCTTTGTGAGCAATTTATGTATATTGTGGAGTTTTGTGTAGTCTCTGCCTATGGACAATATTTATTTGTAGTTGAGTTTTATGTTTTTTTTTTTTTTAAAACTACTTATCCTGCCAAATTCTGAAAGATATGTTGTTACATTGTGACATGGAGATTTCTCAGTTTTTATTTCAGGGTATTTACTCTGGTGCATTTCTGGAATAATCTATCCTTTATAGCATGTAGCTTTGACATTTGCATAATAATTTTCTGTATACATGAATGTTATCACAAATGTGTATAATTTAATATACCAGGTAAAGAATACATGTTCCCTTCTTCCTTGAGAACTTCAATGGTGAAATCTTATTAACTCACCTCACCTTACTCATTATTGTCATTAACTACTTGCTACACAGTGTAAATAAAGACCTGCTGAGAAATGAGCAGGAAGACTTGCACCCAACACCGACTCCTGCATCTTCCTCACTCCCATTTCCCTAGCCCCCTTTTTGGAATCTCCACACACTGACACTGTCTCACACCTTCGAAGATCCTTCCCTGCTGTGTGTTGAGACCCATCCCCAACAACTCACCTTTTTTGTTGTTGTTGTTCAGTTTTATTACCATCTTGGTTTTGAAACTTTCTTCCAGTATGCTTAAATAATGATAATTATTTATATTCTGTGAGTCTTTCCTGTACAACTCTGGCTTCCTCAAGACAGGACTTATCTGTCTTACTTAGCATGATACCCTTGCGTCTAACACAGTGCCAGGCACAAACAATATGGCTACACATATCAATGGTGAGTACATTTTTTCTCCCAGTTCCTTATCCATATAATGATCATTTCATTAATTATCGTGGTGTAAATCACAGTTACCACTCTGTAATGGTTATATTTTCTCTTAAAGATACCACAAATTTTGGAGACCCACACCCATTTCTACATATACAATCACTTTGATTGGGAATGTCTAGTAATGAATTTACACACATCCATTTATAATACATTGCATATAGATGAGGGGAGGGTACAGGCACATCGGTGCAAAGATGTGTCCCCCGTGTAAATTTCCAAATAAGTGAGTTATTATACCCCCTTTTCTCTGAGTCTAGATAGATGTCACTTAAAATTTTTTGAATCGCATTTCATTCATACATTTCTAAGGAGACTTATCAAGTAAAACATGGCTTTGCAGTGTGGTTGTTCTGACAAGCTGCAGATAAAGATTAGCAGGTGCCGAGTGTCCTGCACCTCATTCCCCCCACTTCAGTTCTCCACAGTGGGATGGACATGTCGACTGCCAGCTGATGGAAAGCTTCTGGGCTGTCACTGACCACTGAACTGGGGAGTCTGATCTTTGCCTCCATCCTCTACTCCTGACCTGCTCCACCCTACGTCAGGAAACACCCAGAATATGCCTTGCTCCAACTTATTCCTCACTTAAATATCTGGGCAACTTCACCACTTTCAGGTTGCATTCCACAAATGTTCCCAGTTTTGCACACACACAGTCAGTGGCATTGTCTTTAACCTAAATGTTCTAAATGATGTCTCCTTCTAGGCAGACACCTAAATCAGAAACTTGTGTGTTCTACTCCAGACCTCCCCTGCCTAGACCCCACAACTGTCTAAGACAAGCGTTTAATTTAGTCATATTAGTTTTCCTACTGTTCCCTTCCCCAATACTGTGTCCTTTCTTCATCATTTGTTCCCATTATTTCTGGGCTACTATAATAAATTTCATAGTGCCCAAGTCCTTCATGCTTCCCTGTGTCTTCCACAATCTAGTTAGATATCAGAAAAGGCAAGAATAAACTGGAGGAACTCAAAAAAGAAAGATATCCCTATCTCATAACACTGCAATCATCATAACTAAAAAACTCAAAGTGTAAATCCATAAGAAGGGGACAGAGAAAGTTTCACGAGATGACTTACCTGACCCCAGTGTGAAAAGACTGAAAATCAGTGTGAACACAAGAGCCATGGATGTGTCCTGTGGGTCAGTGTCAGTCTATGGATGTAGATGGCATCAGGGAAAAGCAGATGGATTCATCAAGAGAAGAGGAGTCAGGCAAATGTCCCAGATGCAAAGACCATAGGCAAAGCTCAAAATGAGCTAGTGGCAAACTGGACTGTTCTTCCTAGATTCTCCCTGAGAGAGATGTGGCTTTTTGTGTGTTAAAAGAATGGGAACTCTGGACTTTGATCCACTGCAATTATGGCCACGTTATAAACATCTACTTCAGAGCAAGGAAGCATAGATAGAAAAAAGTGGGGTAGATAAAGCTAGGACTTTGCCTATTTCTAGACTCTATCAGATGAAAATGGGTATGTCAGATGCAGGGTATTTTCAAGTCCAGTTGGGGCAGGCAGAGCTATATGGGGATGTGGAGGTGGGAGTGAGACCTACTCCTAAAAGAGAGTTCATTCCAGCACAGGGTTGTAACCAAATAGGTAATATTCCATGAAGACTAACTAAAGGGAGCTAAGAGCTATATTTACTGGCATAATCTCAGGTAACCCTTTTCCTTGATTTGAATTCAGGCTCAGATATCTACTAAGACTAGATGGGGAAAAAACTTGTTAGAACAAGACAATATCTTGATCTCCAATTATCCAAGTTACTGGGAAAAGTACTAGAGCAGTAGGTCAGACATGAGGGTAAGGCAAAGAACCAGCATTCATTCAATCTATAAATACATCAAGTGACTGCTTACTAGATCAGAAAGCAAGTTTCTGATGTTATCACCACAAAGAGCACATTCTCTAGCCATAATCCAATTAGTGTGAAATCATTTTAAAAATAGTAAGTCTTAAGCTCATCAATAACACAATTTTGAATAATTCGTGAATAAGAAATCATAACAAAAGCTATTAGGTTGATTAGCACATGGAGATTCAAAAGTTAGCATGATGGACTAGGCATTGAAGCTCTGTGCTGTCCGCCCATACCTTGCCCTAAGCATCTCGTTATTTATTCCTGAGTTATATCCTTTATGAAAAATCACTGAGAGGTCTGCTGTGCCATGTGGTCACCTCTGGGGCGAGTGGGAATCAAACTCCTGCTGAAGTGGCCTTAGCTTCTTAACGCTGTGCTTTAACCTGCTGCATCTACAGGGAGGGCCCATTGTTGTTCATTTTTAAACAATGTTTACTTTTTTCTTTGACGAAGTCGGCACTATCTATTCTCTTGGGTAGTGGGCAGTTTTAAGGGTGAAATGGGGGAATACTACTTCTTCCCTTAGTGCCTAGTTGGGTGTGTAGACTCTAGGGAAAGGGAGTCTTTATAGTTATTTTCAAAATATATATTTGCTCCTTGATTCCCTTCTAAAATCTTTTGAACTTTAGGTTCATTTTTGTTTTTGTTTTTTTCATTGCCACTATAAAATACTAAAAGGAAAGTCTATATTATCACTGCTAACTACTGAAAACCTAGTTTCTGTCTTCCTCCATGTTGTGTTCCATGTTGTGTTTTCTGCATTCTCAAGGTGATAATATATTATTTTTTTTAAGGATTTATTTATTTGTGCTTACAGAACTGGGGTATATGCCAGAGGTATGGGGCGTGAGAGGATTCACCAGAGACAGAGTGGGCAGCAGAACAGGCAGATGTATTGAAATAAACTGCTGAGGGGTCAGAAAAGGTCTGCCACACCATGTGAGTCAGCTCCCTGTTGGGCGATTCAACTGTTGGCTGCAGTGGCTTCTGGGAGTTCATAATTCAGTGCTTTAACCCATTGTGTCACCAGGGAAAGCCCAATATGTTATGTATTTTAAATGTTGGGACGTTGGAAATAAAGTTTGTAATGTATTTACGTAAAGCATATGCTCTGTAGATCTGATAATGGCACTTACAATAAGAAAAAGGAAAATAGAATGTTACAGGAAAATTTTAGTACTTTATTAAAACTCACTAAAAGACCTAAATAAACAGGGAGATATACTTTGGTTAGTTAGCCTTTGTAGGATGGAATCTTCAAGATTGCAAACAGCAAATCTTCCAAATTTATCTGTAGATTCATTAAATCAAATTCCCAATTAATCTTTTTTTATAAAATGAAAGTTTAAAAGTTAATTCTAAATATTTAAATGAATATATCAAAAAAAAAAACAAAGAATAGACAAGTTTGCCTTAAGAATAAACTGGTAAGATGTATCATATAAAAATTTATAAATCTATTGTGATAAGACACTTTGGTTTTCACAGGATTGAGAAAGTAAAACAATGGACCAAAATGAATACAGAAATAGGTTGATATATTTACACTTGATGTGCAAAAAATGGGTAAGAAAAAGGCTTACTTTAGTCAATGCTGCCAAAACAATTAATTGGTTAGTGCACAGGGGAATTTAATTGTCCCACTATGCTACAATGCACACATCAATTCCAGGTGACTTACATATATGAGTTATCTGGGTTGTTGGTTTTTTGTTTTGTTTTGTTTTGTTTTGTTTAACCTGATTAGGTAATAAGATGAGTCCTGTAGAGTAAAAACAACTGTTCTCATTTGATTCTTAGAAGTATTTCAGGCAAGAAAATTTGACATAAAGAGAAGGCAAAAGAAGAAAATTCCTTGAAGTTTTTTGTGCAGTACATGGCATCTACAGGGACCAAGAGAACAGAGGCTAACCCCACAGAAGCAAGGCCCACATCAGAGGACAACCTACTGCCCCCACTGCAGGGAGTAGTCTCTATCCACGCTGACCTCATGAAGGGATCTTGCTGCCCATGCTAGAGGACCCATCACAGAGAGTTCCTGCTACCTGCAACTCAAAATGTATGTGGACCCGGGTCTGTGTCCCAGCCCTGGAGCATAGGAAACTGGCATTTTTGTTCTCACCTTAGAGAGATGGTCTTGCCTAAAATGTGAGGATCCCCCAAACATAGGAAAAGGAAATAACAAATATCCCTACCAAGGTGTATATTGTGATGCCTGTATCCCCAGGTAAACATGCAAAAAGCAAAATACCTTAAGAAGAGAGCTTGAGTTAGGCCATTTAGAACATATGAAACATGAAGAGTTAGGTTGGAGGAAAAAGAGGACACAGGTATGGGCAGGAGACTGGAGTTAGAGAACTCTACTGGGAAAAAGTGAAACTAAAAGAGACTCAGGAGGGAGGAGGATGTGTTCTCTTCAAAGAAAAGATTATCCTTATCAAATGTATAGTGGGTGTTCAATAACTGCTTAATGAATAAATGGAGTCTGAACACAAAGAACAGTCATCAGCTATAAAAACAGGGAAGGGCAACCTTTGAACCTAGGTGGGTCTGATTCCACAGGTGAGGTGCTGCAGTCTAGAAACTGATTCCTTATGTATTTACCTGCACCTTCTGGACACTCTGCCTCACTCTCTGGCCAACATCACCTCCTGATTACTTCCTTCCTAACCTTGTCTCTCACTTTCAATTATTATAAGTCATTTTGATAAGGTTAACCATCTCTGTGAACTGTAGATGTTTCATAGACTTCAAGTCTATGCAGGTGGCTTTGCTCTCTTGTACTAAAGCAGAGAGGGGCCATTCCCAGAGCATTTCACAGAGTGGTCATTCTCTTTTTGTTGTATAATCAACATTTTATTAGTTTCATTTGTGAATAATGTTGTGTCATTTTCCAACATGGGGGCACCTTTAGCATCTTCCACCTGTACTTCACCTGAAGAGCTGTGTCAGGTCAAGTCTACCTTCCGAACCATTATGAGTTGACCCTTAACCCCTGTGCCCTCTTTACACCTAATGCTGCATTTGCAAAACAAACTTACACTTATATTTTTATCTGTCATGTGTTGTAATAATTGTATATATTGGGATATGGTAAACTGAGTTTTATTTTTTAGACCAGTATTTATAAATTTAGTACTTATAAATTCAGAAAATAGACAACAACAATAATACAATAAGTAATGAACAATCACCTTTTATATAGTATGAGAGGATGTCAAAGAGTTTAAAAGATTACCAGTCTAACCCAAAAGAGGTAAAAAGAGGTAAAACAAAAGAGGTAAAAAGCCTCTACAAAGAAAATTATAAAACACTGTTAAAAGAAATACAAGAAGACACCATGAAATGGAAAGACATTCCCTGTTCATGGATCAGGAGAATTACAATCATCAAAATGGCCATCTTGCCAAAAGCAATATACAGATTTAATGCCATCCCAATTAAAAATCTCAATGACAATCTTCAAAGAAATAGAAAAAAATATTGATCAGATTCATATGGAACAACAAAAGACCTCGAATAGCCAAAACTTTCATGTCTAAGAAGGAAGAGAATGGAGGCATTATAATCCCAAACTTCAAGCTATACTACAAAGCCATAATAATAAAAACTGCATGGTGCTGGAACAAGAACAGACATACAGATCAGTGGATTCGAATAGAAAACCCAGATATAAACCTACAAGTTTATGGACAGCTAGTTTTTGACAAAGGAGCAAAGAAGATACAATGGAACAAAGAAAGTTTGTTCAGCAAATGATGCTGGGGAAACTGGAAAGCTACATGCAAAAAAAATGAAACTAGATCACTACCTCACTCCACATAGAAAAATCTACTCGAAGTGGATTAAAAACCTAGATATAAGAACAGAAACCATAAAATAACCTGGAAGCAAAGATGAGCCAAACACTACACGACATACACGTTAGCGACATCTTTAAAAATAGAACACCCAATGCCACAGTAGTGAAGGCAAGGATAAATAGATGGGACTACATCAAGTTAAAAAGCTTTTGTACAGCAAAAGAGACATTACAAACAACAAACAGACATCCCACCGATTGGGAAAAAATTTTCTCACACAAAACTAGTGACAAAGGATTGATCACAAAAGTATATGGAGAACTATGAAACTGAACAAAAATAAACAACCCCATCAAAAAATGGGCAGAAGAGCTAAAAAGACACTTCTCCAAAGAGGAAATGCAGATGGCTAACAAGCATATGAAAAAATGTTCAATATCACTCGTAATAAGGGAGATGCAT